ATGACAAGCTCTAAATGGTTGCAGATGTTTTTCTTTTTGTAATTTCAATTTCAACTTCATATTTGGCGCAAGTAGACAATAACCCAAATTTATACCTGTGCCGGGATAAACATGAATTTTTAATTTTCATAAAGCTGTTACCAATTCACTGTGAAATGCCTAGCACTATTGACTTTTCAACACATTCATATTTCAAAGGTAAAATCTGCACTTCTAATTGTTTCCTCACTTTTAAAATTTATATTGGCACTATGTTTTTACAACAATATGATTTGTATTGTCTCCAACACGGTTAATAACAAGTACTTAATGGGGCCGGAAACTGATGTATTTCACATCAAATCAGATACTTGGATATTCTGTAAGAACCTAAACATACATTTGGTAGTACAGAATTTCAGTATTGTTGAAGACACAATTTGTTGAAGATTTTCAACAACATTCATCAGGGCAATTTACAAGAATGTCAATTCAAGGGGGAATTAACATTGATACTCTATGGGAGGAGATTGCTGATTGGGTGGTAAGTGAATTACCAATCAACAGTCTTTTTTTTACAGTAAGAAAGCTGTCTTCCTCTATATTGATATCCTTGCAAACTATCCTGATGAATGTGAGACGAGATGTTTTCACAGAAGCCTCTTACTCAGCAAGGCCTAAAGATTTTGGAACTAAAGAGCAGGCCTTGAAATCCCCCTGTTAAATTTACTCATACCCACTGACTTTGACACTTGACCGAGTCTTTACTTCATAGAATTTTCAACAGCTTTAAAAGACCCAACAGTCAGGGTGGCAAAGTGACCAGAACTGAAATCTCCTGATGTTATTTTGACTTGCGAGAACAGGTTGAGAGATGGGAGTATGATTATGTGAGGATATGGCAAAAGAAATTTCTAACACGTGAGTAGCACTAAGGCAGTCTCTCAGAAACAATTCAGAAAACAACAAGCACAAAGACAAGAGGTTGCTGAGCATCTAGATTGTAGATACATTTCTGACGCTGTTC